ACGGCACTTTAACCGGCAGGTGCGTAGCGCTAACGACGCTTCCAGCCCGCTAAAGGAAACGGGGCGAGGGGGGGGGGAAGGAAGAGAGGAAGGGGCAAGGCAATTTTGGGTCGCTTCGTGCTACTCGGTACGGCCCGCTCGTTAGCGCGGCCTGCCGCCTATCGCAATTAAACGACGTTGTACGATTTTTCGACGAATACATTTTTTTCATCTTGTATTTTATACCAAAGGACAATCTAAAAAAAAATAATGACGTCTTGGCAATCGGTAGTTGAAAAAAATCGATAATTTCGCACGTCCGTTCGTACATTTCCCCCTCGCGTCTCATCTCGTTCCCTTCCGTCGAAAGTTAAATGTACAACGTGTTTCGAGGTAAAATTATCAGATTTTGGGATTTATAAATTAAGGTGTTATTTCGATATTTTTAAATGAGAAACGAGGCCATAAATCATACAAGAATAGTTTCCATATTCGAAATGAGGTACGATGCGATGATTATAATGGTTACATTGTTATTAGCAGTCCGTTTTTAATACGTCGTTTTTTTTCTTGCGTGACGTATCGTAATTTTAGATGTCTAATTTTTAGCGATAACGATAATTTTACAAATGTATCTATGCTTTTTTTGGCTAAAATCATTTGAATATCACCGAGGGGATCTCATCTTGCTGCCGAAATAACCGAAATATATACGGTACGAAGTTTTATACACCGGCGTAATAGCGAGCAGGCAGCAAGTGTACGATACGGAACGATAGGGATCCGTCCGTGCGTATGAAGAATATAGGGTGTGCAAAAAAGGTCGGTTCGGATGATTACATGGTGCGGACGCTTCTGGCTGCAATTCAAGCATCCATCCGGACGCGTACAATGTTACAAAGCTTTCTCGCTCTCTCTCTCTCTCTCTCTCTCTCTTTCTCTCTCACATGTACATTGTATAGCAGTAATTGACACATGTGGACCGGAATATATGGGCTTGAATTTTTATGCGGAAATAAAATAGCAAGAGATTATCGATCAAGTTTCTCGCGAGCCAACATTCCCTTAATCCTATGAATTTTATAGCTCGCATAGCCTACGCATTTACGCGTATATTCATATTTAAAAAAAGAGGGGAATAAAAAACGTAAAAAAAGGGGAATAAAAAAAATTCATACAATTCTAATTCCACATTAGTTTAACATGAGGCGCTCGTTGAAATTCAATTACGCACGCGCTGCGTTGTATCCGTGTTAAATTTGCACGCGATAGTCGTTGGCTTAAATGCCGCAAAAGTTTTGTGCATTCACTTTTACGAATATCCTTGAGATTTCGCCAAATCCATGCGCGAGAGAGCCGCTCATTAAAATCAATTACGGCCGGTTGTAAATTTTTGCCGATCGAGCGTCTTCGGTCGCTCCGACGCGAGACGACACACTCTGCATTTAACGCAACTCCTGTATTCGGAGAGGATTTATTACGTCACGTAAGATCAAGGATTACCAGTTCCACGCCGTTCGCACGCGCGCGCGCGCTCTCCTCGTTTCGCCTCGCTCTTTCGCGAATATATACGCGTGCACACACGTACACAGTCTCTCTCTTTCTTCCTCGCAGTATGGTCACCTCTGCTTTTGGACACCTGCTGCTTCTCGCTGACGCAGACACGAACCTGCAAGCGAAACGCAGCGTCACGTGATTGGACTAGTGCTATGTATATGCAAAACGATTGATGTACGAAAGGCCAGTGAAAGTAAGTTCCGCCGTTTCTGCCGACGTTTCTGCGCGTCTCGCGCTTTATCCTCGAGAAACGTTAATGGCGAATTTATATCTGCAGATGCCGCGTTGAATTTACATTTGATAATTGCTACTAAAATTGAATCGTTCAATTTGAGTCAAATTGAGTCGTTCAATTATCGAGCGACAAATATGCGTCGATTCTATACGTCAATCAAAAGTATACAATGCTTTTTGCGAAACCTATTGGACAAAATTCACCTGAATCGATGGTTTGCAGAAACGTTCCTAATCAATGTCAGAGCTAAATTTTTAATCGTCGAGTATTCTTGCACGTCGCAAGACACGATTGTTCATTTTTACCATCATTTTTAATCTCGCAGTCACTATAAAGCGTAGAAATGTGTAATCCGTTATCGATCATGCATCGGATACACGTGCTACTCGCATCAAACTGTTGATTTCCCGCGGAAAAAATTGTTGCGAAAAACTCGCGCCCGTTCGACATCCATCCATCGCATTCACTCGGACCTCAAATTTTCTCAACGTCAACGCATCCCGATTAATTCGCGATTAATTCGCTTCTCGCAATTTTTCGTCACAACCGTGCGAGGATACGTGTCGTTGGAAATGCGTCGCAGACATTTACGCAAATCTCGCCACGTGAATCGTAAAGAGAGAGAGAGAGAAGGAGAAAAACGTCGATTGGGAATCGACGTGGCGGAAAAAAAAGAGAGGCGAGGAAAAAAGCGTAGCGGAAAAAGTGGCGAGATCGTCGTGAGAGCGTTCGTACGCAATCTAGTCCAAGCATAGGTGCCACAGCCCTCACAGCCTGGGCTTCTAGGAATCCAATCAATAAATATTACAATGGAACCCCTAGAGAAGTAGGGGCGCAGCATATCCTCCTCTCTCTCTCTCTTTCTCTCTCGTCGTCGGTCCCCTCCACCGTCTCGCCACCGCGCGTCCCATCCTCCCCATCATATTCCTCCTCCTGCTACCGCTACCGCTACCGCTGCTGCTGCTGCTGCTGCTGCTGCTGCTGCTGCTGCTTACTCTGCCTGCCTAGTCGCTAGTCGGAGGAAAAAGGATCTGTCCTACGTCGCGCGCGCTCCTGCAGTCGCTTCGTTCCTCGCTCGCCTCGTCCTCGACCACGTCCGCGAAACTTGGCCCGTCCCACCCCCGTCGTCGTCCGACCCCCCCCCCGGCCCGTCCCCCGCTCCCTCCCACCCGGCATCTCCCTCGCTCTCTCGCCGCCTTTTTCTCATCCTCCCGAAGCGCGCCACCAGCCACCACCCGCGCCCCTTCACGGGCCCTCGAGCCCACCACCGTTTACATTTTACTTTTCTAGTAGCGAATTAAAACCGCGTTCATGCGCAGCCCGTGGAAGGGCGTAATGATTTTTTGAGGGGCGAATCGAGTGGGGTCGCCTACGGTGGTGCACGGCTCGCGGCGGCAGGAGAGAGCGAGAAAGAAGGAAAGAGAGAGAGGGGGTAATAGCTCTGGGTGCTACCGTCGAGTTTAGCAGGAGCAGGACGGCGCGTGCCGCGGCAAGGATAAATACCCGAACGAGCGAGCGAGCGAGCGAGCGAACGCGTTTTTGCTTCGTTAATGTTAACGAATGAGGGGTACATAATTATCGGGGAAACGGCGGAGCGGCGGATCTCGTTTATCGATCTCGGTCGAAACGGGCGCAGGGACCATTTTACAAATTTCCTCCTCTCGTTCAAAACGGGCTAAATCGAACTCTTATCCTCCTTCAACGCCGAGGCGTCAAAAATCTCTCCCTCCCTCTCTCTCTGTCTTTCGTCGCTCGCGAGATTCGAATCGGAGATGAATTTTTCAAACTTTTGCAAGTTTGGCGAGAGACCGTCTCGAGATTCCCGCGAAATCCAAAGGGAACAACCCAGAGGATCGGGAGAAGAAAACGCGGCAACATTTTTTTCCAGCTCGAGAGACCGGACTCGTTTCGCGGCGGCTACGCGCATTTTCGTCTCGTCAACTGATTACGGCGGGGTAGAGAGAGAGAGAGAGAGAGGGAAGAGACCAAGATTGCGGGGTACACGGGGAGAGAAACAGAACAGCCGCCGCGGCCGCGGCCGCAAGCATCAACCTCTCCCACCATGGCGCCCGGTGGCGGCCGGCTCTCTCGCTCTCGCGCGCCTTGGGCTCTCTCACGCTCTCTCTCTCTGCGTACGCACTATTTTTTAGTCCGCACTTATTACGACAGATGTCTCATGCTCCGATAAAGAATAACGGCGGGCGAGCGGGAGCCTTCCCCCCGCATGCTAGTCCTAACCAGGCTCGGGAACAGCAGCCCGTACTTGGTGCTTCGTCGGCTCGTGGTGTCACTGTAACGCGCCGGTTTACGTTACGCGCGTCTCTCCTCTTTTTTTTTTCCTTCCGGCTCGTCCTCGTTCCCGCTGTCTCCCTCCACCACACGCACACATACGCACACACACACACACACACACACACGCACGCACGCACACAAAATACACGCACGCACACTTGTCGCTTCGTCTCGCTTTCAAACTCCTCAACCGTCGTCGCGAATCGACGAGTCTCCCCGCGACAGTGATTATGTCTATCGGCGCCGTCGTTGATCCGCGACCTCGAACTCGGACCGAGGATCCTCGTCTCGATCGCGGAGACGCGTAGCTTAGACCACGGGGGACCGCACACGCTCTCCTTCCTCGCCGGATCGGCACACGTGGTAGGTACACGTTCATCCCGCTTCGGAACGTCCACTCGTGCCCGTCGGTCATTATCGCCTCGTCTCGCGGTTCGTTTCGTATCTTGCGGTCGGAAGAGTGCGAACGCAACAAGGAGAAAGAGAGAGAGAGAGAAAAAGGCGAGGCCGGAGATCCTTTTCTCGCGCGTGAAGCGACGATTTCTCGTACGCGGAGACTGCGGATGAGAGAAGACGCTCCGCTCCTCGACCGAGGGTCAACATGTGCATGCGTGCATGCGTGCGTGCGTGCGTGCGTTGCGGGTGTGCGCGTATATATAAATATACATACGCACGCGGGCGTCGAGAGAAAGGAAGAGAGACGAGGGAACAATCGCGTAGAGTGACTCGTGCATTCAACGTGCACAAGTTGCGCGCGCGAGCAAACGAGAGGGAGGGTGGATGCATGCGTACGCACATGTGCACGGTATGCGAGCATCGCTGCCAGCGACGAAAGGGTACCTCGGAAGCGCGCGACATGGGAACGCTCTCTCTCTCTCTCTTTCTTCCTCCCGACGAGTCTCTCCGAGGCGAAAAAAAATTCACGGATGCTTTTCAGACGAAACGGCGATAACGAGGGCACCGCCGGGCTTCGGTCGAGGCTTTGGTACCGCGCGTCGTCGGCGAACGATGATATTTAACGTGACACGTGCCGCACAGTGACAGCCGGCGCGGAGGAAAAGGATCGGAAGCGAGAGGAGACCGCCAAGACCGCAGACGGAACCCGATGGTCGGAGGATGGTGGTGGTGGTTATAGTGGTTTGAAAATCGTCGAAACGACACCGGGAAGGGGCGACGCACGTGAGAGCGACTTTCTCCCCACCCCCCCGTCTCTCTCTTCCTCTCTCCGACGCCACAAGGTAATTAGCCAAAGGGCCGCGCATCTCGAGAGCGCATCTCTTTGAGTAAATCTCGCTTTTTGTTAGAGAGCCGTATAGAGTCGCAACCCCGCACAATGACTCCCGTCGAGTCCAAGTACGCGTTATCGCGAAAAGTGGAGGTAATCGGAGCTATTTGCAAAGTTTGCGAGCAAACTACGCCCAATTACGTCGGCATTTTCGCACCTTGCTGCTCGCGAGCGATCGCGACGTTCTCGCTTTGATATTTGCGCGCGAATCGATCGTTGTTTGGCAAAATCTCGATTCCAAGATCGAGGCGCAAAGTTCCGCGATGCGATTCGAGAGCTACCGTAGAGTCGAGGATAATTCAGGGATGCGATAGTTTTGATGCGAAAACAAGTTGGCAATTTATTTCGAATAGTTGCAACGCGCGAAATTGAATCCGAAATCGAGATTACACCGTTTTCGACTTTGAAAAATGAATCTCGATAGAGCGAGAGAGACGTCGCGTTTCGCGCGGGTGATTTTTAACCGATAAATTTTACACTTTTCTCGATATGTGATAAAAAATTGCATCAAACACGTAACATTATTTTGCCTCGACCTCGGCTTTTTTATTTTGTCGCGCGCGTACCTTTTTTCGTCGCGAGATATAATTTCACGGGACGCGATCCGAATTTTCCCGGCGTAATTTCGGTCGGTTCAAAGTTTCCATTATTCGTTGCAATTGGAAACTTTGAATCGGCCGAAATTCGGCGGCCTCGAGTCCCCTCGCGCATCGTCGGGTGAGACGTAAGGATTACGTTTCCTTTTTCCCGTCCGTTTCCGTCCCATTTAGCGCGCGCACAGAGTCGCTCGCAGAATTCATTATTGGACATTCGCCGCGCTATTCTTCCTTCCTTCTCGTCTCCTCTCGCTCCTGCCACACGCTCCACGCACACGTACACTCGTCTTCTAAACGTTTATCGATTAGAAGTGTATCGCGAGAAAAGAGTAATAAAAAAAAAAACGTCCTTCCCCTCTTCCGGCAAATCTTGCGTCCATCTTTCTCTCGGTCCGCGTGTCATTCAATATACCCGCCGCCGTTTCCCTCTCCTTGTCGCGCGCATCCTCGGCACCCTCTCTCCTCAGCCCCATCCTCGCGCATTTTCTCTTTCCCTCCTCCGCCCTCTCCCCCTCTCGCGCCCCGTTCTCGTAACGGCGACGACGATCGCCGGCTTTTCGTACATTTTCGTGCGGCCTCGCGAGACGGGAGGGAAGCGCGGCGCCTTCTCCGCGAACAGAGTCGCACAGTCGTGACGTGACGTTTTAGGGGTTGGTCGGTCGGCTCGCTCGCGCACGGTATGCGACGAGGAAGGAGCCTGCTGCGGTGACTGCTCGCTCGCGACGCCCCCGGTCAAAGTGCGAAAGATATCGTCGTCGACGTCGTCTTCATCCTTGTCGCCACCGCCACCGCCGTCGTCCTCGTCGTCGTCGTCGTCTTCATCCTCGTCGCGTCGCCGTGTCTCTCGACGCTCCTCTCCCCTCGTGTCTCATGTGACCCGGACGACGATCGCGATCTCGCGATCACGGACGCTCGCATCCGCGTAAGCGCGCGGATGAGCCGCGGATCTCGCGCGCGCGGCGAGCGCCAAAGTCGCGACGCGCTCGATCCTGCCTCGATCCTTGTCGCTCCCGCGTCCCGTCCCTCCCCGGCCCTCTCCGTCTCCCGCTCGCGCTCCGCCGTCCCCGTTTGATCGCGATCACTTTCGGTGTGGCCGACAGTTCGGGCGGCGGCGACGGCGTGGGGGCGGTGGTGGTGGTTGGTGCGCGCGATGGCGGGAGGGAAGGGGTAGGAGGATGATCCACGCGCAGGAAGGAAGGAAGGAAGGAACGAACGACAAAATCGTTTAGTATTTATTTCAAGTGTATTTACCGATATCCTCTCTCGCCCGCTACAACATCCTAAACCTCGCGCGTCGACGATACGTGGGGGGATCTCCGTCCCACTCTCGCGATCTCACGCGTTGCCGTACGCATCGATCACGCAGGTGTCACGCAGGATCCGCCGGAATCGATCGCTCGTAGGACTCGATCTTTCGCCGAGAGTAGCAGCCGCGGGCGAGCTTCGAGTCGCGAGTGTCGAGTGTGCTCGGTTCCTTCTTCTCTTTCTTTTTCGCTCTTGGCCCGCGTCGAGATAATCGCCGTCTTCGCCGCCCCCGCCGCCGCCGTCGCCGTCATCGTCAGCGTCATCGTCATCGTCATCGTCATCATCGTCGTCGTGTTTGGCTCGGTTGTTTCGGTCATTAGCTTACGCGGCATGACGGCCGATAGGTGTTCCTCGGTGATAACGCGTCCGGACTCGGCAGACTGTGATTCGCGCTCGGGTTGCCGGCCGAGCGTGCCTTAGAAAAACTATACGAGAGCTCTCTCCGTCAGTCAGTGTGCGTGTGTGTATGCGAGAAGGTATCTATCGTATCGCGGCGGAGGATCCCCGACAGATTGATCGATCGCGCGTCGCTTTTCGGCGTCGCTCTTCGCCTCGACCGAGGAGCGCGACGAGGTTTACGTGCGACGTGTGCGATTTCAAACATTTCGATCCCGAGATTCCCCGCGCTCGCGTAATCCCGCTCGCGATTATTCGCGACTCGTCCGGACTCTCTCTCTCTCTCCCCTCCTCTCTCCCTCTAATCCCGGCTGGTGCGTGCAAATTGTGTAAATAGTTTAGCGCCGTTCGTTCGCCCCGCCGGCAATGAAGCGAGCGACCTAGTCGTAAACTGAAAGTTGTAGTTTTTTTTTCCTTGGCTTTATCAACGCGAACCAACGTACGAGAGACCATCGCGCGTTTTTCTGTCTGTTATCAAACAATGTTCGGTAGCAAAGTTATCTGTCAGATTCGTCACATGTAATTTTAGCAGGACGCGATAGCGACACTTGAAAAAAATTGGAACAATCTCCACGCGAGTGCGAAAAATCGGGAGACGCGGATTTCTCTCTCTCTCTCTCTCTCTCTCTCTCGTTGTCGATTCTTCCGTCTTGCTTCAATTTTTTTCGCGAGCAAGACACCGGAGCAAGCTTAAATCAACGAGGTTCGACGTACGAAAAAAGATTGCCGCGGAGATCTGAGTCTGTCGCGGAGATTCCGTTCATGTTAAAATGCATCGGCTGTGAATAATTATCCTCCTGGATTTCGCGCGGCGGAAAATGCGAGATCGCTTTGCCGCTCGTTAAATGCTCCAACCCATTTTTTTCTAGTCGCGCCAGCGAGTCGTTTTGTAAATTTGTTTTAAGATCTCTTTTTTTTTATCATTATGCTAAGATAACACTATCAGCGTACATTTAGTGCTCCCGCTTTTATAAGTAGCAGAGAATTATTTAATCAACGTACTCTCTTTCTCTCTTTCTTTTTTTCTCTTTCTCTCTTCTCTTTGAATCGGCTCCAGCTTGACGACCTAATTTTCCCGTATGGCGAAGCAGCAATTCGCGCTGCGCGTGTCCATGCGTGCGTGCGTGCGTGCGCGTGATGTGTGTGTGTGTGTGCGTGCGTCTCCTGATTTTATTCCTGCTAATCGCGTCCTTTATCCGCTCATCTTTCTACGCAATTGGGCAAGTAAACGCTCGTTTCTATTTCCGGTTTCGCGGTAAGCTTAGCCACGCAATATTTCACTTCTTTCGCGATATTTCGACGATCCGTTATGTCATCCGCTATTGCCGTTCGACGAAAAAAAATATATATATATGCGTGTATAAAATTTTTAAATCGTCATTTACACAATGCGGATGTAAAGAAACATCTCCACTTGCATCGTTATGTCACTCGCGTTTTTTTCTCGCTTTTTATATCGATTAATCTTTTACACCTTTTACACCTCCAAGATGAATAAATCAGATCGATAAATCTCAACATTACATAATATCAATGTCGAATTGTTCCTAATAAATTTGCGTGCAGAAAAATGATGAGTTATCGAAAACTAGCTTTTTCGTCGTTAATAATCTCAAGCTATTAATATGACTTTTTAACGAGATGTCGTAGATTAATTAAAAGCGCGCGTTACGTAATTTTGCGGGAATATAAATTTTCGTATATATCTAATCGCTCACTTTTCTCTCCGAGACTCTTCTCGCCGCGATTTTCGATCCCCCCTTTATAATTTTATAGTCAACCTCTAATTTATCGCAAAAATATCGCGGGACATGCAATTGCGATTCGATATCAGTCGAATATGCGTACATGTTGCAATTGTGTTTTCGAATGTCGAAATTGGACTTATCTAAAATTATCAGTTTACAAGCTTATCGATGTGCACTAGTCGGCGGGTCGTAGCCGAAATTTCAATTACACCGTCGCACGTCGCGTTTAAGACGCTTTAGCGGACGGACAAATGTCTGTCTCGCTCGTTAGATTCTAAGCGATCCTCCCTCCGTCCTCCGATCGGTAGCAGCAGGCATTCGCTTTCTAATTGCAGGTGAATAGACACAACGATGGTAGATACACAACATTTCTGTCTGCGATGGAACAATTACCAGAGCAGCATAACCTCGGCGTTTGAAAATCTGCGGGACGATGAGGACTTTGTGGACGTGACGCTGGCCTGCGACGGCAAAAGCCTGAAAGCCCATCGCGTCGTTCTCTCCGCCTGTAGCCCGTATTTTAGAGAATTGCTCAAGGTAAGAGTCCCTTCCTCCGGCTGTGAAAAAGTCCGTTCGCCAAATTTTTTTACCCACGGCGAAGCCTTCCCCACCGTCCAAGAATCCACCACCTAACGATTACGCGCGCAACACGTTGCGCTGTTTCAGAGCACGCCGTGCAAGCACCCGGTGATAGTGCTCCAGGATGTGGCGTTCAGCGACTTACATGCCTTAGTGGAGTTTATTTATCACGGCGAGGTGAACGTGCATCAGCGGTCTCTCAGTAGTTTCCTAAAGACCGCGGAGGTCCTCAGGGTATCGGGCCTCACGCAACAGGCCGACCAAACCGACAGAGACGAGGTAACGTCTTCGGGGGACGCAATTACGGGGATCGAAAGCGCCAGTGTACGTGCGTGCTCGGGCTTTGACGCTACCGGCTACATTCGATGGTTTCTGTGTTTACGAGTGACAATCAAAGTGCGACAGCTGGCGTAAGATTTTTCGACTCGCCTCCTTCCGTTCTCTATTTTTTTTTTTTTGTTCTTCTTTCCTCTTCGCCGAGCTACGCGTCTGTAGTCGCCGAGATCGAGCACGCCGCAATTACATGGCTCTCGAGTTTGCCAAGAGCGTCACGTGCACGTGTGTACGTGTGCGTAACGTAAATTCGTATTGTATATATACATATATATACGTGTATCTCACATTCACGTGCGCGTGCGAACGCGCATATGTAAACACATGGCCGTGTCCTTCGCGTCTCTCTTTCTCTCTCTCTCTCTCTCTCCCGACGACGACATACGTTATCGTCAATAAACGTTACTTTGGGCGAAAGGCTTTCGCGTTATCTCGCGACGCGGAACGCGTCTATCTTGATTCCAAATTCGTAATTGTCATAGGTCAAGCGAAACAAAGATAAAGCGGCTCGTCCGTGAAAATCGTACAATTTGACCGTAAAGTATCGAATACCGATACGTATCGCGATACTCTTCAATTTGCATGGCCGAGCGAAACTATCGTTTCCAATCGAAACGATTTATCGATCGATCGAACGACGAATCCGGACGAGGATTTCGATAATTACGGATTGCACGGTCGCGCCATCCCCGCCCTCCCCCTGGGTATAATTAACATCTATCGTTCCCGTTTCGCTCTCTGTCCCCAGCTGTCGCATGTTCGCGCCCTGGCGGGCGGCGGCAATCACCTGCCGTTCCACGACAAGACGGAGGAGATCGCCTTCCCTCGTGGCGGCTCGCCGCCCACCCCCGTGACCCCGACGCCGACCACGGTGCAACAGTTGCTGCGTCGCGCCCAGATACGTCGCAACGAGAGACGCACCCCGGATCCGCACGATGAGACGGCCAAGAGACCGCGGGTGCCGTCGCCGCCGCTCAACAACAACGACGCCACGCCCACGGACTTTTCGATGGTCAAGAGCAATCACCTGTCGACCAAGGTGGAGGGCAACGGGGTGCACGACGAGAACAGCCTGGTCGAGGACAATATAAAGTGCGAGCCGTTGGAGCTGACCGGCGGCAACGGCGGCGCCAACGCCGGCAACAACGAGGACTCGTCCGATTCCGGGGCCGCGGCCTCGGATCGACCGCCCGCGTCCGCGAGCAGCAACGAGCACGAGCCGGAACCGGAACACACGTCCGGGGCGCAGAACTATCTGCCGGAGAGCAAGCTCTTCACGTCGACCCCCGGCAGCTTCAACTTTAGCATGGCGGCGCTCACCACCGATCACACACCATTGTCAGGTACGTCGGGGACGCGACGATCCCGAGGCGGGCCTGTACGCACGGGTCGATTTACGCCGACGATTCTCGCCAACGATTCTCGCCCCTTTGTTCGCTTTGATACGCGCGAAAACATTTCTTCTCTCCGAGACAAAATATTTATTTATTATTTAGCGTTTCGCGCTTTCTTCTTTTTCTCTCTCTCCCTCTCGCGGAATTTTATTTTGCGTATTATAGAAAAAGAGATATTTCAATCTTTGTTGGCGATTCCCGTCTTTTGTCAGCATGTTGATGAACTCGCGCAGCTAGAGTCTCCAAGATTTTTGCACTCGCGATAACTCCGACTCTGTCTCGTCTCAGCTTATCGTCGCGTTTTTCCCTTTTATAATTGCGAAATTGCGTACAGGCCGTTGTCGAGTTTCCGCGCGCGATGACATCGCCGCTACTACGTGTGACGATAGTGAAATTTCCAGGATTGGGCCACGGCTTGCAAACACCGGACCTGGCGGGTACTTCGCAAGGTAAGAAACTCGTCTCTCTTCTTTTTTTAGCTCTCTGCCCTTTCGAAATCATTAGAATTGCTTGGAAAGTCGAGATAATAGACATATACGTATATATATATCTATATCTATACGTTCCCGGTATATATTTGTGGCATCGTTGGTTTCATCACGCGACCGTCAATGTGCGTTCTTTTGATTTTTTAAGGGCACTCTGCGCTACCTTATTATTCTTCTACTGACAGTCGATACATCGCGGCATCGCGCCTCGATCGTACGCGATGTAGCGGTCTCGCTCTAATAAAAAAATAACTAAGGACTTGTGCAATTATATCAAACTAACCAAATCACACACAAATTTTTACGAGAATGAAAATGTTTACTGGTTGCGGTGAAAGAGCACTACTATCTGCTTGGAAAATTATTAAGTCTCTTCTAATTGGCATGCGTTCCAAAAATCATCGATATCATCATTACTATACGGCACCATATACGATTCGCCTACATTTTGCATATCATAAAAAAATCATGTACTACGTGGAGCTGCGTGTGGCTCCACGATCTCAAAACGAAAAATCGAGCTCGGGAGCGCAACTCCCGGTGCTCGTATCTTGTAAAATTTCGACGCAAGTAACGCTCGCCCGATTGTAACTCACGCTCGTTAACGCGCCAAGCTCCATCAAGTTACGCTCAAATATCCTCGAATTAATTATTACATACGGTTATCTATGCGCGTTCCACATGTAAGAGATAAATCCACAACACTGGCTCATTTCGCAAGTTTATTACATTTGTTACGCACCAAGAACGTCATGTAGCGTTCGGGTGTATTCAGTGTGCTAAATTTACCTGTATTTTAAAAGCACTTTGACAGAGAAAAATGTAGAGACAATGTATCTTTCATTTGTTATTTTGTTGCGCTTGGGAAAAAATATGGATGGATATAATATTTTCTCGGAAGAAAATTGCAAGAAATTGAGCATTTGTGATTTCACGAGGAATTTGCATAAATGTAGTGCCAAATTTCAAATAAAACTTTTCTATCAAAAATATATGAATTAAAATTGTTACATGGATATATTACTGCATCGTTGATTTTTATTTATGACTCTGTGGCTTTGCGGGTACTTTATAAATATATGCAAATTTTATTTCCCAGAAAACTTGCATACTTTGGGATATATGATATACAAATATATATTTTAATAAAATGTATTTTCAAGAAAGAGACACTTTATCAAAAAAGAAAATTTACTTTGGAAAGCAATTTTAGTTTAAAACTTGACGACATATTCAAAAAAAAAGTCACGCACCTTGTACGTGCAAGAATCGAATAATTCGTTTCAAGCAATTTTCTTGCGAGCCACTTTATACATCCGCAAAATGTAATCGGGACCGTTGAACGAAGCAAAGTTACATGGGCAGAGCGAGACGCTTTTTTTTATGACGATTCTATCGCGCGAAAAAAATAAAAAAAAAAAAAAGTTGCACGTCGGCCGTAGCAGATACATTCGCTCGAACATCGAGAACCACCGTTGTTAATTGATACACCGACGCGAAAGAAATTGCGATTAATCGATTGAGCTTGGCATCGCTGCGCAATAATTTGGCGCGATTCGTCGCGAGTTTGGACGCTCGAAAGGGCTGCATCCGGTCTCGAGATAGGGGTTAACGACGACGCGGCGACGAGGCCACGTTGTATACGCGTGTCTTTGCATCTTTTCCCTCGATCGAGAGCGTCAACGATCAGCGCACGATGCTTTGAGCGTCGTCTCGATGTATACCTTATAAATATGCCGATTTCCCCGATAATCGATCGTTGCCGTGCTTGTATCGCTCGATTGAACGTTGGGTTGCGTATCGGTGTACTATCCCCCTCTTCCTCGTGTTAACGTTTTGCAATAGAATCAATATCGTGGCGATGATATCGCCGATATAACGCCGTCGTCGTGTCTCGCTACGGGTGCAGGTACGATGGAGAAAAAAAGAAAGGAGACGCGCAATCGCGACTCGATAAGACGCTCGAAACTTCATCTTGCAACTCTGTGCAATCTGCGGATCCTTCGTACAGACATACACATGTATATATAATTGCAAAAGAGGATGTGATAGGTCAATCTATTCTTGTCTACATATCTATTAAAAAAACTAGATGCATTTTAACAATCAAGTCATTTCACTGACGATTGATTAAACCAAAAGCGGAAAAAAAGAAACACGAAAGGAAAGAGTAGGATTTTAAATGTCGCGGTGTTTGCCGTGCAATTTTTAATTGCTACGATTAAAAGACGAATACGAGAAGCAGGAGTACACATCGATAACGAAGCTGTAATAGAGAATCGTGCAACGTTATCGGCTCTTTCGGCGACGAAGCTGGCTGCTTACGTCGACGTTACGGCTCAAGGTGCGATATCGTCCTCTCCGCGCTAAAGATAATGACGAATAATTACGAGAACGAAGTATGGCGTACTTGAGCGTGCGTGACCTTCCACAAGCGGATTTTGGCGACGTTTGCGCGCGCGCGCGCGTGCGTGCGTGTATACGTGTACGTGTGCGGGAGGAAGAGAGAGAGGGGAGATTGGAAAAAAATTCGGACCGATCGTGTGCGCGCTTTCGCGCCTGACCTGGCGCGGCAAGAACGAGTCGACGTCATCATCGGCCGCGACGAGGACCGTGAACAAGTTGACGCATTTTTCGCATCTCGTGCGCGCATATATATATATATATATATATATATATTTTTTTTTTTCTTTCTTTCTTTTCGCTAGGTATCCTTGGGTGAGAAAAGTTTGACAAATGCGCGACACAATCAACCGGTTGTGTAAATTCAGGTGCGGCTTCGCATTGTCGATTAATATTTGAACGGCTGGTTTATACTAGGTTAGTACTGAAAAAGTTTATCTCTCGCGGCGATACACGCACACAATCGTCGGGGGGGGGGAAGGGGTGGAGGCGATGGGCAAAGTGGAACGGGAGGGGAGGAGGGAGGGGACGAGAATTCGGGGACCGCGTCGATAAGGCTGCAGATGTTATCCGCGAAATTCAAGGTCCCTCTATCTCCGACGAACCAACGTGGCCAACTAAACATTGGCCTAACTAAAAATACAACGACCTTGGTATGCCATTCACGTTCCTGCCACTCACTCTCTCCGCGAATCATTAGATACATTAAATTATATCTCGCCGGGTATACGCGCCGACGACGGCGACGACGAGTCGTGTCGTCCCGTGTCGTCAATCGCTCTCTCGGCGCGCGAGAGAATGATATAATTCTTTTTCCTTTTTTCTCTTTCTCTTTTTCTCTCTCTCTCTCTCTCTCTCTCCCCGACTAGTTTCGAAGAATATCTTGCGACATACCACGCGGTGCTCGGCTCCGCTATTGGTCAGACCGATTTATGCAACGCGTTTACTCATCGATGAGGAATAGCTCTCCGCAAAAATCTCGTCCCGAATACACATATTTTTTTTACGAAAATTTAGAAATATTCACTACACTTTCGTGGGGAAATCGCGGGAATATTAACGAGTCTTTCGATGGACGAGAGAGAAACGTAAAGAGCTACGCGACACGCGGATTGTATTCTTAAAATGCGTTGGAATTTCACTGGAAATGTCTTAGAATATTACACGGATTAATTTTTGACATACTTGATTTGTACATGTGGTTTTATTCAAATAGATAATTACACGCGATAAAGTCTTAATAGAGAAACATATGATAATCGTCATTTTGGCATTTCTCTCGTTTCTTCCTTCGATCAATATTCACTGCTGAATCGAAATTACTGTTCCTAGTTTTATATCCAATATTTTTTAGGAAGGAAGTAAGGCTAACTACCTTTCATTAATTAATCTCATGCTTCGTCGCGTAAGTATTTCCGATACAATTTTCCGTGTAATCTCACGATCGGTTCCGAGTCTTATCGAGGATCTCTTTGTTTTGTGCAAAACTAGTAATAATTATTGACTTGTGCGTTGAATCGATATTTTTTAAAATTATATATCATTAATTCTCAACGTATCGATTAACTCTCCCAAGCAAATCACGGGGTATTGGCAGAACGTTTTCTCATATTATTTTTCAACTCGCTTTCGCGTACACCTAAGCCTCTCGAGAAAAATTCTGTTCCGCGAGAGACGATATTTTGAGATGCTAAGCGGCGATGTGGTTTATGCGCGAGAGCCTCGAGTTCAGCATGAATTCGCATGTGTTTAGAGAGTAAAAAGTAAAATATATTAACTTCCAAAATAGCACCGTTCAAGGAACACGACGAAAAAGCCAGCTATAAAAGTCGGGTGGCGAGGGAGGGGGGGGGGGTAGCGGGGGACGAGCGTCAAATCCGCGTATATTCTTTCGCCTGATTTTCTCCTTCTTGACCGCGTATTCTCGTCCGCTCGATTTATTCCTCCAAGATGCGCTTAAAGCGTCGCGCGTATCGGAGAGGGCGGGGTGGGCGCTCCGATTATTTTCCTTCATTTTTTTTCCTCGTTTTCTTTTTCGGCTGCGCTCTGCAACACTTTCGTAGAGAGGCAGATAGGTGGTAATCCGTCGCGGCATAAAAATATCGATTGCGAGGTTGAATTCGAGCGCGGTTTATCTTCCTTCTGCGCTTGTGTATCAGGAGGCGTGGCAAAGTCTCGATGCATCGGTGCTAACCAAATATTTGTTCTATCGCTTTTTAGCACTATGTAAAGAGAGGGCGGGAGGGAGAGTATTTTTTACGCATCTTTTTTTTTTTTTGCAAATAGTTGATGCTTCTTGTCAACTGAGGAGAAGCCGAAGCGAGGTGCTCCGCGCGATTCGTCTTTTTCGGAATGTCAGCTCTAAGCGATGTATAATGAATAGGCGTGTATCGATCCACAAGGTGAACCACCCGTTTCTTCCGAGGACGATGCTTTATTCCTCGAGTTTCGTCTTTAATTCGTAGAATTAAGAGAGCAGAGGAGATTGCTTTGTATCGATTTTACAAGACGCATGAAAAATTTCGTTTCTTAAAATCCATCCGGCAAAACGTTCAACAGTCAATTGCTAGTTTCAAGCTTGTCTCTAATAGATTCTAAACTACTCTAGAAATTTGCGGCTCGGACGCAAGTGTTTCGCCAAATTCTAAATATATATCGTATATAAACGTCAATCCAATTTTCCTCTTTTTTTTTCTTCCTCTTTGATCGCGACCGCTCGTACGTATGGATCGCCTTTTAAACTCGCGCTGCCAAAATTCCGAAAAATGTTAGTTGCGTAACAAAAGTCTACAAAGAGCAACGTAAATCCGGATACGTCGCCATCTATCGATACTGCGAATAAATGGCAAAATTTTGTAAGTTTCTGTGGCGAAATGATGTGAATTTCACTCGTGTAGTTTCATGTTTACTCGATACCAGGAGCACCTCTTCTCTCTCTTTCTCTCTCTCTCTCTTTCTCTCTCTCTCTCTCTCTCTCTCTCTCTCTCTTTATAGAGAGCCCCTCGCCCCTCTTTATACTATCTTTCCCCCTTTACCATCCCGCCATTCTCCATCGTTTCGTTGCTGCCTCGGTAGCTACGATTGTGTTGATGCAGTGACTCTCATTTTTTTGCACCCGCCCATAAATCCCCGCCGTTCATTCATCCTGCTACGCGTAACGTGTGTGTCACGTGTGGGAAAAAACGGTCGGATGATTCTTTTTAACGCGATATATCGAAACGTATGATAAGGACGTTTCTTAGGTACGATATACATCAAGATTGATCGCAAATGTTCGATACAACGTGGTCCAAATGATTTATAAGCCATCGTGTCGTAGCTCGTGATTATGCGAAATTAATGCTGTTTCGATATCGTCGACTTAATACTTGAAATTGGCATCGCTGCTCGAATAAATTTTACACGTTAAATTCAATTTTCACTCGCTCAATCGTGCATGATTTCGCTCGGTTATCGGATAATTGAACTGTCACCCGTGTGTATTAAGTCTCTTGGAACATTTATATCCAATACTCGGAGTTTGAAATGTTCTTCTAAATCCTGATGGATTTACCCGCCAAGGTTGTTTAAATCTTTAAAATTGTGCGAATCTCTATTTAAATTGTCCGGAGAGAATCGTGCCTTTCCTTCAAGGGGAGAAATCATCCCTCGTCGAATCGAATCGAATCATTTCTTCGCGAATTTCCGAATCCACGCGATTACGCGCAGACCCAAGTTAGGGAACCCCTGTCCGTATTAACGGTACGTATTCTCGGATGGACATGCGGCGCCCGCCAAGGCCAAACGAAAGTTCGCTCCGAACCAAATCTGACGGAATTTTTTATCTGTAGTACGTACTTATCGGGTAGACGCCCAGGTCTAGCTACTTGTTTTCGCCTGCGCTATTATCGATGATGAACTTGAGGTGACCTCGAAAGCTGCGCAACGGTACGTGTACGGATATCGGTGTGTGTGTCTGTGTGTGTGTGTGTGTCAAATGCGGGGGCGGAGGACGAGGCAGAGAGCGAGGGGAGAGAGAGACAAGCGGGATTCGGGAGACGAACAGTTAGAGAAATGGCGAGGCGAGTGGTGGGAAACGGGGGAGGCAGGGCGGACAAAGAAAGGGGTGGGGAAGGTGCAGAGGCCACGACGATTGCACTTTCGCTCTTGTATGCCGTTCGTGATCTTTCCAACAAATCTGTCAAACGAGCATTTCCCTTTTCCTCATGAATATGTCGATTAGGAAGACGTATCGATCATAATAATCGCGATACGAAAGAGCGATGAATTGTCACGCTATTAGTCGATGGGATAATGTTTTGTGATCGTAAAGAAACGACGATTGCAACGCGCGATTACGGGCACTACTATATAGATTATTATTCAGATTTTCCTTGATGTTATCGGCGATTATCTATTCGGATACGTGTTCCTTTATCTGGAATTTTTGAGAGGGTATACACACATATTGAGGAGATACATATAAGCGCGGTGCAATCTTGAAATTTGTACACATCGCGGATTATAATGACCTTGGTCAAGAATCGTCGCTAGTATCGCCCACGTAGTCGAAAATGAAGCGATTAATCGAGCTGAAGATGAATCGAAAAAATATAAAGAACGCGATGTAGCGTCATTTGACGATAAGACATTATCGTACGATAATAATAAACGGTTGTAATTCTCATCTTTCGTCGAATGTTTATTAAAGTGAATATTATACCATCTTATATTAATGATTTCTTAAACGCATATTATTGCGTTTATCGTTAAAAAATATTCCGGTATCGCGACCACCCCGATTGACCCCGCTTTGCACGATCGCGCGCACTTTACTGCCAAAATGATGGGATCTAACGAGACGTTTACATAATCGAGGAAAACTTTAAATCGCTTCGATACATTTCTCAGAGTCGAATTCGCCCGTCGAATAATCTATGTAGATTAACGCGAGGGCGGAAAGAAGAGCGCAACTGGCTTATATCGCTTGTGTTTGCGCCTGTTAGAGGAGACGACGAATGCTCCTCGCTAAGAATAGCGATGCACAATCTACATGAGAAAACTCCGAGTGGCTTTGTGAGAGATATATCTCTCGCGCATCGTAAAACATGTTCTCTACGTTTGTCCGAACGGGTTTTTGGGCGAAGAGTGAGAATAAACGCGCCCGTCCTGCATATACGCGTAGTCCCGACGTCCTCGTTTCTCGAGCGAGCGTAGGAAAAAAGACAGATTCGCTTGTATGCCTATCGGCATAATGCTTGCCTATTGCGGGAACACCTCGTCGCTAGGGGTACGAATATTGCGACGAGTACAAGAACGGGTTATTTCTCGTTTCGTCATATTTTCCTACACGCGCGTTTCATACGAGCTATCCATCTCGTAGGGTTGCACGAGGCTCGACGATATTCGTAAAAATATTGTATTGATAATTGAAATTTGCGAAAATTTAAATCTCTTGTCTGGAACTTGAATGAATCTTTATAGCAAAGATATCCTCTTATTTCGGCTTTATTAATGATTTTTATTTATGTGATTTCAAATAATTATTATCTATTTATGTCATTCATTTACTTTTCAAAATGCTATAATATATATATTGTCTTTATGAACTATAGTTGCAAATATACACATATTTTATTTTGTTTAAATCAGTAATCTTCACAAGCTCAATCTTTATAATTAATTATATGTAAAAATCTTGTCTTGATCTTGTCTCGAATTTCAAGACGAGACGATCGAAACTAGTCTCGATATTTCGTGCAATCCTACTATTTTGAAATATATAGCTGTATTTTAAAATTATAATCTGCAACCAGACGCAAAGAGAAAAAAATATTGTACGGCTACGTTTGAGGAAAAAAGACGACGTGATAATTCCATTACGATTATAAGTTTGCAAAAACGAGGAAATGGTTCGAAATGATAACTAATTTATAAACTCCACCGATTACCACTACTCCGATCGTACTCGGGGCAACTACAAACTACATACACGGTTAGATTAGATTAAAAAAAGAAAAACTAGCTAAGATATTCGATATTCGTGGCGTAGTTGATTTAAAATTCTCAAACGTCAAATTTTCCGTCCCGATTCGCTTTTTACCTGAAGCGGAACGACCTATCGATCGTAGCCGGCTCTCTCTGCGCGCTTAGAGTCAACATCAGTCATAATACAGCATAACGGCATACAGGGGTTATTAAGAATAATACACATCCTACGTATATATCTTCTTCTCGGTTGTATCGCGAGGGGGAACGCTTTGGGGAGAATGCGGGGGTCCGGGAGGCGCGCGCGCACGGCAGGATTATGAGGGGCACGAAACACGAAGAGGGAGGACGAAGCGGAGAACCGACGTGGGGTAGCGTTGCCACGGGTAACCGGCTGGGTAAAATCCCACAAAGAAGCGTCGTGAATACCGCCGCGCTCTCCTGTTGACGACGATCGTTGGCGTCCCGTCGTTCGATGGATGTATTACTTACATAGTGTCAGGTTTGTCCCGATGCACCGATAGATTCTCGATAGACTTGAAAAGCCGGGTCGCAACCATCATCCAATCTCGAGCTTAAACGTCTCTTTCCCGGATTTTTACCAGTAACGCGTGTAGCAGGGGGAATAATTGTATCCAAATTGCCATGTTAATATTCCGTTGAGAGCTATTTATGACAAAAAATATGATAAATATATACGGATGTTGAAGAAAACGGCGAACAAAAGCCGGCACGCAAATCAATTCAACGTATATTAATCTGTATTATTATTGTATCGATATCGGATTGAATTGACTTGTCGCAATTACTATTCAGCCAACGCATTTTATTCGTCTAGCATTCCAATTTAACCTGTCGTCGAGGACAAAGTTGTAGATTTTAATATAGCAATCTTGATAAATTTTTCTTTCTCACTCAACATTGTAAGTATGAAATCACAATGATATTATATAATCTTTCGTGTCATACATAAATGATATTACGTAAATAGACTACGTCTTTAATGATTTTTCGGGAATAAAACGAGTCTTTCTCAAATCGTTCGTGGTCTAGATTTACCGACTCTCGTCTCGCAATTATCGTTTATGAAAACGTCGCTCTCGTCTGTTCTTCGAGACTTTACAATAAAAATACATGGCCCATTTTAATGAAAATGTCCATTTTAGAATCGAAAATTAACTCCAAACGCCATACGTATATAGTAGACAGAGAGACATAGAGTGTGTATGCGTGTGAGAAAGAGAAAACGAGAGGGAGAGAGAGAAAGAATAAATGTTCGTTTTTGTTACCAAAAGTTACTCGTTATGGTGCTCTAAATGATGTCGCGTGAATCCGGTTGGACTCAGCCCCCTCCTCTTTGGTTGCAGACCGGGAGGTCGCCGAGGAGGACGGGGGTTGGCAGTCCGCTATCAACATCGAGTACCAACGGCAAATACAGCGATCGAACCAAAGCGATACGAACGCAGATCGCTGCGACGAGAAGGCGCATCAGCAGCAAGAGCTGCCGATAATTGATCTCTTAGACAACATTAAAGATCAGATGGAGGTCGTGAAATCGGAACCCGTCTCGCCCAAGATGGACGAATTCGAGTCTTGCCTCATGTCGAATCGCAAGATCGAGACTCATACGGATCGAGATCGCGACTGTCGTCGAGAGAAGCAACAACAGCAGTCGTCCGGAAGATCCTCCAATTATGGCACGGAATTACGATGGCTACGACCGCGAAACGGTTTCTCGCCAATCAAGCATCAGGACACGTCGCGCGTGTACAAGGAAGAGACTAAACACTCGAACCGCACCTACTGCAACTTGTGCCAAAAGACCTTTTCTCGCGCGTGGTCTCTGCAAAGGCACTTGGCAGACACGCACTTTTACGTGCCGCAGTCTCTAGCCTGCGATCAGTGCGGCAGATGTTATAAATCGAGAAACAGCCTGGTTAGCCACAAGAGCCAGTATCACGCTCGAAAACCGTAAATACCAAGGCTCAATGCGAAGTTGTGCGTTCAATGTACTGAACGGTGCTACCGATCTAGAATGAGTCTCCGTATGCATATCACACAAGACAAACATAAGACAGACTAAACTTATAATATGACGCAGAATGTATGCGACTATCGGAGGGAAGGGAGGGTGATTTTACAGTCCCCGGCTTGTCGGACGTATGCAACCGCGTCGTATAAATGTGTTCTACTAATTAGTGTGTTATAATTTACATTCTCTCTATACCGCTCATGTATTGTAATTATATCTCAACAGTATTGTGCAGCGAGATTTATTACTAGTCGTTCATTTCCCCTCTGGCGAGAGATTACCTCACTCGAGACCAAAGAAATCATCGGTGTTAATTCCTCGACATTTATAATAAGTCGTCAGTCATTTCGTGAATACGATATAAAGCACCATATATTTATAGCATAGCTGTCGAGATTCTACAGAATGTATTTTTTTTTAGACGGGACTTGAAAAAAAGCACGCGTGTAATTTTGTAGAACTCAAATTTCAATATAACATGCAAATACAATCTCTTATGCTTATTCATGGCAATAAAAATAATCAGATACATCAGATATATTTTGCGTTCATAACAGCAAAATTTGATCTGATCCAAATTACGCCAAGCTCTTTATTTGGATTTTTATCCATTTTGTTATGTCGCATTATTGAATTCGTATTCGAGACAAAAATAATTTTTTGTTATAACACGATAAAAAAAGAGAATTTTACTTAGAAATATTCAAAACAAAAATATTTTACTAGTTGACGTATGTTTAGTGAAATACGGAATTTTTGTTATGATTTTTGCTGTAGCATGATTGAAAAAGGAGAATTTTACTTTTACTTAGAAATATTCGAGACAAAAATATTTCACTAGTTGACATATGTTTAAAGAAATACGGAATTTTTGTTATTATATAATTTTTACTATAGCATGATTGAAAAAAGAAAATTTTACTTTTACTTAGAAATATTCGAGACAAAAATATTTCACTAGTTGACATACGTTTAAAGAAATACGGAAATTTTGTTATTATGATTTTTGTTATAGCATGATTGAAAGAAAAAAGAAGTTTAATTTTACTTGGAAATATTCTTCGATATCGAAGTGAGATTAAAGTCTTCATTAAAAATTGCGGATCATTTGACACATTTGACACGCCGAATTAGTAGTCGCTAATCAGATGTTATTTAACATTGCAGCTCGTGGCATTTTATCAGTCACAATACGATATTAATTCTACAGATTACAAGATTACATAATATTACGTTTCGCGAAGACTCGCGTTACGCAAGCGCGTATTGCACTCGTTTCGACATAGACAAATGCCATTGTTCCTGTGCATTCGTGAGATTGTAATTGCGTAAAGCGTTTTAAGAAAAAAAAAAATTAAAAAAACTCGAGACACTGCGCGTATTGCCCACTGTTATAACGTGGCGTATACAGAAAAAAAAAGCACGCGGTATACAAGTCGCCGACTAAACGGCGAGGAATGAAGGGAGATGTTTGATTAAAAAAAGTGAAATGTTGTTTCTAATGAGCGAGCGCTATCTCACGGCCTAAATATCGCGCGAGAAGAAAGAACTTCTGTTGGCGACTCTTTCGCCTTCAAGGCTACGCGAAAATACCATCAATCATGAAATATAGAGAACATTACGCTTCATCGCATCACCTCATTAGAAACAGATATCGCATTTGTGTACACAGCTCGCACATATCTCTACATTCTTGCGCATATTCACGTGCGCGTATATACATGTACATATATATATATATATATAAAATATATAAGACTACGCTCTATTTTGCTGTAAATAATATGCATATCGACATGGATATATCTGGTAGTCATGAAACACTAACTTCATCGCTCACGATTGTTCGCTGTGAAACCTTGGAACTGCTTGCACTGTGTTATCCTAATTGCGTCCGAAAAAAGTAAGCATCATGCGACCTGTTTTAAGAGAGAGAGAGAGAGAAAGAGACGGAAAGAAAAAGAAGGAGAGAGAGAGAGAGAGAGAGAGAGAGAGAGAGAGAGAAATGTTGCACGATCTCGGAATTGAAAGAACTTTCCGAGACTGAAATTATTACCATTGTCATCGTATTCGATCGATATTACACTTTGACGGCACGTGTATCGAGAATTTAAATTTAATTATTTTATATTAAGAGTAATTAATGATCATTCTTTAGAGAATGAGTAATCGAAAATTATTGCAATATTAGATAACACAGGAGGAGCGCGCATAAAAAGAGGTCTTACATAATACGGTTGACATTCTACATCGTTCTACATCTCTCTGACAATGTCGCTGAAATTACGCAATATTGACTGTATATGAAATTATCAGCACTTCTTATGTCATGAATCAGCACTTTTTATATAATTGAAGTTTTTGATGTTGCTTCTACATAAACGAACACAGGAATTATTTCTTTTTTTATTAATATATTGCTATAGAAAAAAATATTAGTATAATAACCTGTAGAGAAGAACGTATCTTGCATAACGTTTTTTGAGAAAAAAATCTATCGTAAAATTTTCCATACAAGTTTAATGAAATCGGTCGCGAGAAAGAAGAAATTAAAACAATGTCGAGTATGCAACAATAAAGAGAAACGACAATGATAATCGAAACGCGAATAACAGACGCAATAATGGCAATACTCGAGAACATTGACGTAAAGACAAGGACACACGGTGACGATATTCACTATAATAGCGATTACAGATACATTATTACACGGCATTGTAAATGATAATCGGATTAATTGCGGGATGAAACGTTATTATGTTCAATGATGGCGATAATGAAATTAAAGATTGAGGAGATACAGAGCCTGACAATATAGGACATTAAAGTATGCATACCGCAGCAAGATTGACATGGCTTGTTCAAAAATGAACCGAAATAACGATCGAGAAAAATAAAAGTGGATAAAGATAAGTACGATGAACAATTGCAATGACGACAAAGTAATACGAGAAAAAGAGAGAAAGATTGAGGTAATAACGTTGACATTGACATCGACGACGAGATTGACTACGACGAGAACTTTGGCGGTAACGATTACGACGAAAGGATCGACGATCACGATGATGATTACGACAACGATCCGGAGAAATCGGATAAATCTTGAAAATTTCACGGTCGAAAAAGAAAAAAGAAAACGAGAGATACGGTGACAATGGTTACGTCCGTGATGCGTTAGGAGACATTTTCCTCGTAATAATCGTCATTACATCACGCAATCAGACGCAAGCAGCGGCACCCCTATATAACTCTTCGGTGGTTTTAAGAAATAACACACACACATACGTAAACATAAATTTGGGCACGGCTTGTCGGGTGACGGTGGTACGATGTATGCTCGATTAATAAGGCGCAAAATAAAAAAAAAAAAAAAGTACTAAGCGGCAAGTAGAGGCGAAAAGAAAAAGAGAGAAAGAGCACACACGGGCGCACGATATTTTCTCAGCTGCGACGACTGTGGTGGTGCCGATTTATCGACGGTGGGGGTGTAGGAGTGTGGAATGATGGTGTACGATTGCGAGTCCGACGAGATCGCGGCTAGAAAAAAACGGAAAAAAAAAAAAAAATAAAATGACGAAGCGTAGAGAAGCACGGGGATGACGTCCTCTCACTCTCTTTCTCTCTGTCTATCAGAACCGCTTCCCCCGCCCCTCCCTCTTTTCCGTCCCCCCTCCCCTCCCCTCCCCTCCCCCTTTGGTCTAATGTCTACTTGTCCACCTGTCCTGTGCCCCCGACGTTTCGAGCGCCAAAAGCCCACAAAAGTAGTAACCCCTGTGTGTCTGGTTCTGCCGCCAGGTCTGTTGGCTGGCAGCGGCGCGAGCGATGAGTTTCGATGCGAGCCGTGCAACAAAAACCTGACCTCCCTAACGCGGTTGAAGCGGCACATACAGAACGTGCACACCAGGCCCAGCAAGGAACCGATCTGTAACATCTGCAAGCGGGTTTACTCCAGTCTAAACAGTCTGCGCAACCACAAGAGCATCTACCACCGGCATCACAACAAAAGCGAGCAGCAGAGAAAGGAAGTAGCGCAGGTTTGCGAATGGCAGAGAGATCAGAGAGGAGAGCACATCGAGAGAAATTACTCTGCGCAGCAGCAGCAACAGCAACAGCAGCAGCAACAACAACAGCAACAGCAACACCAGGCTCAGCAACATCCGCGAATGGCATGAGATTACTCTGCCTCTGTTCCTCGCGCTTTCTCTCTCTCTCCCTCTGACGAATTCTTGGTGAATTTCTTGGTGCCGAGAGTGTATCGAGTGTTTACGCCGCATAGACCTACGTTACCGTTACGGATCGAGATCCGATGTGATTCCGAATTCTGCGATCGCTGGCGATTGAAATACCAATTTCTCATTGTACGGTGGAAGTTGGCGGACATTCGAAATGACGTAGCTCGGATAATAACTCCGTTCGCCGTCGTATTCTCGAGATATTTGACGAGAAGTCGAGAGAAAGACCGGTCGTACGACTCTGCGGCGATGTAACGCGATGTGATTTTTAATGTAACGTCACGATTTGTTGTAAGCGTGAAGATATCACGAATGAAATCGAATCTCTCGAGCCGGTAACGTGCCGATGAAACGGATTTAACTACGGTTTCGAACCGTAAAATTGCCGGAAAATTTCTTATTCTTTCGGGTCTTGCGACAAAATAATCATTTCTCGATGTCATTGCGTCCCGTTTGCAACGATTGACAAAATGCGAATCGAATGAGTGACGTCTTGAAATGAAGCGCGAAATTCGGATGTGTCGCAAAGTTGCATTGATATTTTTTATGAATAAAAAAAAACTAAACTAAAATATCCCATAAGGTATATTATATTTGCATCTTTTGTAAATAGTGTTGCGAAAGATCGAACAGAGAAAAGATTCGCGTATCTAGAATCTGAGCGACTACTTATGTGATAGGCATAACACCTTCGACTTTCGAAGTTTCGATTAGCTCAAGGGCCACGATATTTGTTGTTATTTTTATATATTATTTATGTGACGAGAGCACACAATATTATATATACACCCACACACACATACACACACACGCACACACACAGATACACGCGCGATAATTGCAGACAACTTCTGTTTCTATTTATCGTCCTACGTGACGGTACAAGAAAAAGGTGCGGTACAAAACGGGATAATAAAATATTATTTAATGTATCTAATTTATTCGTAACTTTATATTCCTTTAGACAAGTTAGAATAGAATAATGCACTCTTTTTTCCCCTCTCTCCCCGCCATTTCATTAATTTCCCTTCTTTCCCAATACGCAGCGTTTACGTCCTTCGTGTCCCATGTCTACGATGCAAAATTTCTTTGCCATAATTTGACAGTAAGATCGTATTTTTAGAAATTTAAATATTTATATAGTCATATATGCGCACATATATGCATTATTAATTCAAATTTTAGTACTCATTTGCAGCATTGACCAGTTCCGTAATATTTAAAACAGAAAAATATTTCAACAAGACATTAACAATTTTGCATTTCTACATATTTAATTTTAATTCCAATTTTTATAATTTTATTGAATTGGAAAAAAATAAATAAATATATTGCGAGAACTTGATTAATTTTTACAAGAAAAAATATATCTTTGCAAAAGTTTTATTCAATATTGATTTCATCCAAGCAAATTGTGAAAATATCCTTCTCT